TCATTGTTGTCGAATGTAATTTTCACCGATTTCAATCACCAAATACGGAAAACATGTTTGAACATAATTTTTCACTTATTTATTTTATCTATTTATGTAAGCATTTGGGTCGCATTTTGCTCAATAATTTACTCATGATTGTTTACCTGTACCGGTACATGTTCGTCCACATGAACAGTTCTTTTCTTTTCAAAACACATGGAAACTATCTTGAAGTTATTTTGGTAAGTTTGAATTTATATTGAAAATATACAATATTTTAAAAGTGATTTTTTTCCTTCGCCAATTGACTCAATTTTCAACTTTTTGAAATAAAGAATAGTTATAATGACGCAGCTTTTGAGAATGTTGACCTTTCGCAAACTCGACAGAGAGTTACCTTTCAGATTTTTCTTTTAAAGATCTAAAATTCCACTTCGCAGAACGAGGTTGATACTCGGTTAGATTACTGGGCCAGATTACTAGGCCAGATTTCAGTTTCCATAAAAGGGTTTGAAGGAATTACACACACACACACACGTACACACTCACACACATACACACACCTGTGCGCTGATCAGATTTCATAAAGCCCAACATAAATTTCTAGAAAAAAACTCATAATTGCCGAACAGCTGCTGATAAAGTGTCAGTAACGAAATCATAACATGTGTATTGTCAGAGCGGCCGTCAGCACAGATTTCAAAGATGAACAATTAACCAGCGAAGCCCAGGATGCGAGATTACGCCCGTTTACACAAAAACATTTTCAAACGGAAAAAAATCTAAAACATGCCATAAGACGTCTTGATTTATAACCGTGGCATTTAACTATCTGACATGAGAAGGGGTTCGTTCTTCTCGTGGAAGAGGAATTTACGGGGACAACCCATATTACACCTTCAGGCATTTGATTCCTGGTAAATTAATATTGTCCATTAATGAAGGCTCATTTTTGCTTCATTTAGACTTTATCTTTATACCACACCTTTATACCACAACCCTCTATCACACCAATATTTTCCATGCAAAGGGATTATTTCCCGTCTTGGTAATTTCACAAGTAATTAGTGAAAATGAAAGTTGAGTCAATTCCTTTTTTGTTAAATTTATCAATTCTTTTAGCTTCCCTGCTTTGTCCTTTGCGATAGACTGAAATAGTTTGGGTATACCGGGTACATTTCATCTCCGTGCTATCAAATTATAGCACTATTAGTCACTTACATGTACGATTCGAATTTGAGACCCAGCACTGGACCAATGAGTGCCAATAATAAACCCCATCTATATGACCTTCCCCACACCCCACCCCACCCCAATTTTAACAGACCTTTTCACTCTAGTAACACTAACTATCTAAATAAATCGCTAATAGGCCTACTGATTTCATATCGACTGTAATATTAAAAGTCGGACTCTGCGTCTTGACGTATATCAGGTTGATACCAAATAAATTATAAGGTCAGCAGTTGATTAAATTTGATGTTATAAAATTTATTTCAAATTGGCACACTCACACAGGTGTATTGCAATTTCTTTCTGAACCGCTCAAAAGTTTGTGTGTCAACACATAAAATAGTTAGGCTCACCTCCTGTCAGGTCATTTTCTTTTTAAGTAGCAGTAATCAAAGCACGAGAAATACCTAACTTTATAACACAGGATAGTACAACATGGAAAAGAAATGTCTTCCGGAAGGGTCATACAGGAATAGCAGCAGGTCAAGGCACGCCGCATACCGGGGAACAAGGTAACCTAAATTAAAGGGATATATGAGGATACAGGAGTGGAGGCAGCAGTTTAACTGAAATATGTGGTCCTCCTATCAGAAAACAGTATTTGTTTATTCTTTACGATATTAAAATCAACGCATGTGTTACCTGTGTTTTCTAGACTACAGGTACATATGCACCCGCTGCAAGTACGTTTGTACAAAATGCGGTACAATTTAAAGCAAAAAATATGTAAAACAAGTGCATGCGTGCAAATTATCACCACGCCTTTTTACTCAAGATTGTACTGTTCATTTTGTAATTACACTATGCACCTGTCCTACAAGTATGCAGGGCATGTAAGGTTGGTATGGTGTAACACACCTCAATAGCATATAATGTGCTCGATCCAAGCACCTCAGCGTTGAACCATGGGGGCTACACCGTGTCACGCACATTTCAGTTAGCCATAATCCTGTCTAATATTTCACGGGGAATGCACCTAATCTCCCTTCGAATATTATCCTTAACAGTGTCAATAGTTTGGGAATTGTTAGTGTAGACCCTGTTTTGATATGTTATCCCACAGAAAAGTCCAGGGGGGTTAAGTCTGGCGGATGTGCAGCTCAGGGATGGTCCGTACGACGGAACAAAAGGCGAGCCTGTCTCCTGGGTAGTAACGTCAGTGATATTTGAGCAATGTGTTGTTGCTCCAATCTGCTGAATTATAATTCACCTTAAATTAAATATTAATTTCACTGAAAATGACAAACATATTTGGGAGACATCGCAGGACACCCTGAATTAATCCCAGCACAGTACCCAATAGTAGTTTATTAAAAAGGTGTATGTAAATGCTGCAAAAGTTAACCTTGTACGGGTAAATCTGAACGACTGTCCATTTCGTTCACCTGGGAGTTGACGGTACGAAGTCAAATTAAAAAAAAACATCATATATCGGAAATGGCGTCAAAATTTTATATTTGTCAAAATGTTTTACATCACACTTGTACACGTCAATAAAAGAAACTGAAAGAAAATACTCTACAATGTTTAAACAAAGCACGTTTCGTTTCTGTAATTTGCAAAAGCGTCATAAAGACAGAGTACGTGTACTGTGGACACATGCAGTACCTGGTCTAATTTTTACAAGCAGTTCAGCGACTCTTGGTTGGGCAGTCAAGAATAAATAGTCCATCAAAACCAAAAAAAAATCTCATTTATACTCATCAGTGTTACTATTTCTGAGGACAATCATAATTATGAACCGACGCGAACATCATTAATTAAAAGAGGAACAACAATTTGACACATACATCTGTCCCTACGTAAGTTGGAACAAGTTCGTTAATAGCCTAAACAAGTGTATATGAAGATAGTGCTGGTCACGAACTATTGTGTCATTGTGATCAGCAGTCAGACCACAAGTGCCTGCTTTACTTGGATATTCGGTACCTGTTGCAATTTCAAAGAAAAAGTACAACACTATTTCAATCTGCCGACAGTCCACAAATAGCACTGGTTTCTAAATATAACCACAATGTATATATGACGATCCTGTTTAGACTCCATTTTGTATAATGTAAGGAATGATCCAAGAAGAGCAATAAGCCACGAGACATACATCATGATGATAAAGATATCTAAACTTAGACCTAACAAGGTACGTTAAAGATAGACCCATGTTCTAAATATATATATATACTGTATACAGAATGATCGGCCGCCAAACTACCTGTTTACCTGTATTTACCTGGAATTTGCGTATCTGACAGGTAGTCTTGGCACACCTTCAATTCGACCTGTTGCTAGACGACGTGCGTTGCGTTAGTAACTCGGTCATTCCAGCCTCATTCAGCGCCGTGCAGACGATGACTACCATGAACTGGATATCGGGCTAAATCAAGTCACCAGACGGCTATTCTGATTTGCTGGGGTTTCGAATTTGAGCCAAAATTCAGTCGCTTTGCAGTCTGTTCGACAGGTGACGCTGGGTAATCCGGTTTTCCATCAAAGATAGTCTGAACGTTCATATCAAGGTGTGAAGTGACTTTAAGTTCAAGTGCCCTTTTCAGTTTACTTAAAGAATACATAATGGAACATATAATTACTGACCAGCTTATACATATAGTTTACGACAAGTGCACTTATCCCCTATCTGATAGATATGTTGTTTAAGATCTTACACCTTACCAAAGTGACCCCAACCTAACCTACTCGTTAACTTTTTCGACAAAGTAAATACCCCAAAAGTAATAATAAGTTATGTCTTGGTCGAACAGCGATTGTTTACGGCAGTGGACCCCATTTCAGCCCAAACTTGCACGCATGTCATATATAATACCTGGAAATAAGGCACGAGGATGAGCAATGTGAAGTATGTTGCTCAAACGTTCCTCTTCAGCAAATTCTTAGCACACACGTTCATATGTTTCAATGGCTGGTCCATCGACATTGTGTTGCAGAGTTGTAGCACGCTAAGCAGACCACTTGTCTATCATTTGATAGAATTCCGACTAAAGACGTACAATTAATTGTAAAAAACGAGAATAAAGAAAAATGCACCAGAATCAAAACTATTTCCCGGGCTGTCTGTGGAGGCTCTGGATCTCTGTCGCAGAATTGAATGTAAGCATTAGTTACTGAACAGATATACTCATCTCCGAAAAGTGAAACACGATGTTATGTATTGAATATACAGGACATTCTTAGCTTGGAACTCGATGGTCGGTACCCGATCTTTGATGAGCACGACAGGAACCTAGGCCCGTGTGTGTGTGCGTGTGCTTGTTTGTGTGTGCGTGTGTTGTGTGTGTGTGTATGCGTGTGTGTGTGTGTGTGTGTGTTTGTGGTGTGTGTGTGAGAGAGAGAGAGGCGGGGAGAGCATCGAGTATCCCACTGAACGACCATTTCAGTTGAAAATACTCACTAACACATTTTAACCATTACTTTTCGTGGAAGACCTCTTTGTTGCACGGCCCGCTGCTCCAACGGGAACACCGAGCATCTGCTTCGTCCAGGAAAGGACAGTGGGTGTGAGCAGTAGCGTGTGCTGATTGGCTTTGAGTTGTCGACAGCAATAGCAATAGGATAAGTTCATATCATGATGGATGGAACTGGTGGGCCAAGTACGAAGCGAAAGCAACTCACAAGTGTGTCACCTACCGGTACCCAACCCAATTTACAACTCCGTTTTGCAGTCAGTACATTTCAAAGTGATTATCTACCACGGAGGCAATTGATAACTGTATAAGCTTTCTGAAGATGGCAAGGATAAAAAGAGAAAAAAAACATGATAGTTTCTTAAAGAGTTTATTTAAAACTGCTGTAATTCAATTTTCACATATACATACGTGTTAAAGCGTACCGCACACTCCACCGTCTGTTTCAGACGCATTAAAGATATTGCCATTAGCAGACTCATTAAAATTGCTTAAGCTGGTACGCCAACAGTTAACTTGTCTTATGGTTAAATGTACGAATTAAACCAATAAGTTAAGAGAAGACTTGGTATATTTAGTATTGAGACTCAGTTTGAGTGGTAATTCATAAAACCGAAACAGTAAGCAGGAACATTGCACCAGTCTGGCGGAAAAAGGTTCACAGAAGCAAATGCACTGTATAAGTTATGTAACCTCTAGTTCTAGGACTGCTGCTGTACAACTGCAGGGTTTGATACAAAAACCACGATTTACAAACACAAATTTGATATGTTAAAATGACAGGTGGAGATCAGACTCATCTCCATACAATCTACAGTTCATTTTCATTACTACGTCAAATATACATTACAAAGTGCTTGATTTACGCATAAAAAACGCAGTAAACTTAATCTCTTAAGAAAAAAATCATTTACACTGAATAATATACACAAATTGCACCAAACCAAAAAGGAAACGCTTATGTACATAAAATGAAAGTTATCTATGATATATAAATCAGGTTACCATTCAGGCACACGTGCGACACTGACAACCGACTTCAGGAAAGGGGCCGCGTGCACTCCAACTTTTCATCGTGTTCCATTCACGATATGGAAATTTGAAACCCTATTAAAGTTTCTGAATCCCTTATATGGTATGGCGCTCGCGTGCGGCTGGCACGAGACTTGACACCGAGAACACTTTAAGGCGCGATATCGTCCAATCAAAAAGCTGAACAACGTTGCAGCCTGTGTCTGGGATAAATGCAAATATATCCACAACACAAAAGGGCCAATTTTTTTTTTGAAGTCCCATGTAAGTGTTCTAGATGTCGCATAAATACCAGCCACAACAAAACCGCCTTCGGAATGCACTTGCAACATAAGGCCACTACAGTGGAGATGTTCATTGTCACAGAGAATACCATTTCATAGACTGTGAATTTATATTCCTCTGACATTTCCCAGGAACGGGCTTCAGCAAAGTTTCTTAGCTCTTGGACTTCAAATTTATAGACAAGGCCTTTTCCTAGAGTCCCGAGATAGATTTGTGTTTTCAAAAGTGTGTTGATGTAGAAAAAACAATCAAGTGCACGTGTTGCTAATTTTTCACCCTCACAGACCACCTGCTCCCTTAAATAATACAGATTTAGCGTAACCTTGCTAGATTTTCTTTTTTAACATCGCTGAAATGGCTGAAATTAGCTGAGATCTCTCTCTCTCTCTCTCTCTCTCTCTCTCTCTCTCTCACACTACACACACACACACACACACACACACACACACGTAAACACAATCAAAGAAAACCAATTATTTATATTACAGGCAACACACACTCGCACACACTTTAGGAGTTCTAAAAACTTCATTGCACTTCGTCCGGCATATTTATATCCAGTTAAATTAATTATAACAACCGTAAAAGAAATAAATGTAATAAATTACAGGCCAGGGATGGCCAATGCACTAATATGTATAAAAGCGTTTTACAAACATGTTTTCATTTTCTATATTTCAAAGCAGACACAGAGAGTCTGGCGAAAGGACAGATATATATGTTGTTTACACTCAATTGGTCCAGTGTTATAGTAAAATTACTTTCTCTAGATTTCATGTTGTCACACATAATATGTACACAGACTTATTCCCGTGCTTGCTATAAAGCAAATGAAAATAAAATCTAACATAAAGAAATGTTCTTTAAACAAAATAGAACTCTTTGAATTAATTGGTCCTTGCTTTGCAGCGGAAATACGTCACTAATATGGATGTAAACGCGCTTTAAATCTAATTTTTGGTTGTTGCACAACTCTTTATAATTGGACGAACGTCTAACTTGTAAAACAAAAAATATACAATAAGAAATGACCGATATCATTACCAACAGGTCAAGATTTGTTCACCTTTGTGACAATATACAAAATGTAAAAAATTAGACTATCCACAAAAAACACTGGACGGCTTGCCACGGAAGTATTTCTCCGTATTACTTGTAGACAAAACTATCTTTCAAGCATACAATAGATTCTGGATGATACTGCCCTAAAAAAACTTCCTATCTCATCCGCCTTTGTCCTCGCATACAGGAGGACTCCTCGTGCTTGTATAGGTAGCTCTTCAGGGCGAATGCCTTTCCGCACCGTTCACAAGTGAAAGGCTTCTCATTCGAATGAGTCTGAGTATGAGCCCGCAGGTTCGACTTGTCGGCAAAAGCTTTATCGCAAATGTTACACTTGAACGGTTTCTCGCCGGTGTGCGTGCGAATGTGTCCTTGCAGAAGCCACGGTCGGCTGAAACGTTTGCCACAGAAGGAACAGACGCACCCTTGGTTGTGTGTGCGCACGTGCATACTATATGCTGGCATTGAAACATAGACTTTCTCACAATGCGGACACTTGCGCGCCTTCTTGTCGTTTACACTGCGATGTGTTTGACGATGACGGGCAAGGTTGCTAGACGTGCTATAGCGCTTACCGCAGTCGGGGCAGATGTAATTCTCTGCGACATTTATTTCCTCTAAAGCTTTGTCAACTAGAACATTTAGATTAAAATCTAATGGGTACGATCCACGGTTCTTCCCGTTTGGAGAGGACGATTCAACGTAGAGGTCTTGGACGTTGGCGTGTCGTTGGCTAAAATCGTCAATCAGAGTTTCGCGAACTCTCGCATATTCGCTGTCTTGGCGGCCGTTTAGGCTTTGAAAATAAGAGCAACTGTCTTGATCAAAAAGCATTGACTGAGGAGGAGAATGGGCAGCTTGGGGCTCGTTGTGGACCAACTGTCCAAAGGTGGTGCGTTTTGAGGTGGCAGCTGCCAGGTATTCGCTTTCTGCGGCCACCAGTGCCAGGCTGTGAAGGGTACCACACTGATCAAAGCACTCATTTGCCAACCTCAGGGCGCCCTCAAGTTTCTCAGTCGGTTTTTCAAGTTCAATGGGTTCTGAAAAAATGAGACAAAATTAAATTTATTTTGACAGCTAGAAAAGTGGGAACGGAAGGAATGCCGTATGCAAGTTGCGTAACAAGCTGCAAAGGCAAAGAGCGTAGGCTCTTACACTTACCGCTGAAAGTTCTAAGAATTAGTCGGGAGAAACACAGTTTGCAATTAGCCAAAGTCAAAAACGAAACTGTATCAAAGAGAAATTGCATAACATGCTCTTTAACTTTTTTGACACAACCGTTCAATTTAAGTGAAGATATAAGTAGGAATGATCAGATTGAAATGCCTTTTGGTTAGCTAGCTGTATCTATTTTAAACCATTCTAAGGCGCCGCCCTGTGGAGCAGACCAGAGATGAACAGTGCTGTCTGCCTCGGATACCACTTTTGTGGCTCAGGGTTCCTCGGTCAAAACAAATCAACTTTAAGAGACCACAAAAAAAGGTGTTTCTAAAAACGGACCAGTATCTGCTACAATGTTTTTTGCATGCAGATTAAGGAAAATGAATTGTGAGTTGGAAAAAATATACATGAAAATACGAGTGCATACTCATTGGAAACACGCATGCATGCACAGGCACGTCAACGAGAAAAAGATCGAATACGTACATTCATTGCTACGGGCAGAACCTGCTTCTCAGCAAAACATCGGTATACACACATTTACAAAGCATTGCTTGTTTTGTTACAGTGCAAGATGGAGCATTTGCTTACTGATACAGCGTCAAGTACATGTATATCAAGACAGCACGAGAAGTGTTAGATCGGTGTTCAACTAGCGTTGATTCAATAATGTGCTGAAATAAGAATCCATTGTCCGAATTTATATAACCCTTGACTTTTCACGGTCGCTTCATGAATTATTCGTACACTGTACCAGGGCGTACCGCTGCATTGGATCAAACTGAAGGAATAAAGCGGTGTAAATAATTGTTTATCTATAAATTCTAGCGAGCGTATTGATATAAACAATGTAGATTTATTTTCAAGCGGTAATTTCATGAACAAGATGTTCTGTAGTTCAAAAGAACAACAGAACGCAGAATAATGCAGTAAGATGAGCTTAAACATTTTAGTTCTCGGCTTTCTACAGTTGCAAAAAAGGAGTATAAGTCATGTTACTCAAATTTGAGATAGAGAGGGGGATATATTGTTGACGTCAACTAAAAAAGAAACAAAGAAAAAACCTGATATCAAACATTTGCTGTCACAACAAAAAAGTCGGTTTATAATGGCAGAAAAAAGTAAAAATAACATTAAGCAAAACAGGCACGTGGCGGCGCGTGGCACACATTTTGTTGGGTTGACTGCAACATGGTGTACCTCTTACGCCCCCAGTGGGTGTCCTCTGTCGTCCTTTAACGACAATACAGAGAATGCGTAGACTAAGCAGTTGACTTAAAGAGCACGCCTCACAGCGTTCCAACATGTTTTTTATTTAGATCTGATGTGCAAACTTGTCATAACAATTACGGCTCAACCTTAATTATGCAAATAGCTCAAGTTCTTAGCAAGGTTCTTAACTCTATACATAGCCCTTATAAATGTTTCTACCATTCGAAAAAATGTGCCGGCGTAAGGAGATGTGACGGGTTGTAAATAGTGCATTTAATCGTCGTTTCCGGGAGAGCTCTGGTTGCCTTTCATTTTCGTTCATTCCCCCCACCTTGCTTGCTAAATTTGGTCCTTTAATGCTACTTCCCCTCATGATTAACCAGGTCCTAATACTTTAGTGGTTTTAGTGGCTTGGAAAGATCAGAAAATCTGGCAGTTTGAGTGACGGAAGCCTTTTTACTCATTAGCGTTAATTCTATCTATGGGTTTAAGAGTATTTCTGTAGCATTCCTTACAAACGTTGCATAGCACTATCGCAGTACACACCGACGTAAAAAATGATTGTAATTGTAGGGGGTTTCCGCTTATTTTTGTTTTATTTCGCTTTAGAAAAGCTTCTACGAATGAAAATGTCAGATGTTAGAGTTCGCTTTTACGGTAGAACTGCAACCGAACAATAGGAAATCACACACAGATATCTTAATCGTACATTATAAATTGTTAATCACATATAAACTCAGCGAAACCAATAGGGTTGAAAGATCTTGCGACAATTTCTCTCTCTCTCTCTCTCTCTCTCTCTCTCTCTCTCTCTCTATATATATATATATATATAGGGCGGTGTTATATTTCCCGCCTTAAAACCTTAACATCTCATGAACCTGAACTAGACCTGTGAGATATGCTTTCCAACATTTTCGCACGGTTTACACCGGCAAGTACCTCATGTACATGTAGTGATACTCTGCTCACATGAAGTCAGGACTATTCCGGGTATGCGCATTGCTTCTAAAAAACTATTGGTTACATTAACAAAATCGTGTAGTTAATACTTCAAGGACATCTTATCAGGATATCGTCATCATAATGAAGGCTTTTATTAAATCAATTGCAAAGGCGGACACCTTCATAATTTATAACAAAGAATAACTTATTTTGGGAGTCCAAAAATACAATCAAAAATTAAAATAGTGAATGGCAGGCCAAGAGTTACAATGCACCATAGTAATGAAAGAATTGTCAGATGATGACTTTTCTGGAAAAATAAGATGTCTGAATACAATCCAAAATACCTAATACATGTCCCGATTTAGGAATAAAGCAATAACAGAATAGAGAAGCTGTTGGACACTGTCTAAGTAACAGTTCATCCTGTGCCGCGAAGTATTCTAAACAAGTCGCTGGATAAGTAAATTGTAAATTATGCAAGTTGCGGAAGTTTTTACAATTTGTATACAATTTACACGAAAAGTGTGATTCCTACTGCCAAAAATAAGGGTAAAAAATAAAACTGTCGGAAATCCACTTTAAGTTCGGACTTCAACCAAGTGATAGTTTCCAAACGAAAGCCAAGTTCAGACTGGGCCATTCTGCTCAGAGAGACCCAAGTGTTTCTCACACTATGAACCACATGTCAATTGATTTGATTCTTTTAGATGACGTCTCAGCCAAGGAAATAAGTAATTTCATGGAATTGTACGAAGAGCAAGTCAAAAAGGAAAAAAGGCAGGCAAATCTGATAATCAAGTCTTTATAGAAATAACGTCTGCCTATAACACATATCTAATTAAAATTTTCGAAAAGAAAATTTTCCTTGACCTGTTTAAGCCACGTTCACATAATTCTAAGTCTTAAGGAACGCAACACACGCATTGACTATGTTTATTTATCAGTGACATTATTTCCATCGCTCTATCTGGACCTGGTGTGAACACTTTCCACACAAAATACCAATTTGGCACTCAGCCAAGCAGAATCTGTTTCCCGCCCTCGTCTCTGCACACATGTTATCGGTAAAAAACCATTTCTACTCTGCTGAGCAAGACATTTTTTCACACCTCATTAAATTTGTTAACTCGGTATTGGGGTTAGTTTGAGGTAAAAAATGGCCAATTTATCCGTACCTCTTACCGAGGTAGGTGAATTAAAGATTCCATATAAAAAACCCAATGTTGAAATCTTATACTTTCGTCTTCCTTTCGTCCTTTAAAATATCAAGAGAGTGACACTTTGTTCTTATAGGTAAGTTTAGGTCGCGGATCTGTATTATGTTGAGATTGGTTCCTTTAGTTGAATTTATCTGTGTTATTTTTTACTAAAATACAAAGCAGGTACTTTTTCCCATTAGAAGAGATAATATGCACCAAATTTCATTCTATTATCCATTTGTTTTCGATCAGAGGTATATGATTTGTATACTTGCATTCTAAATTACTCTTTGTTTTTTCATCCTGGCTATGCTATCATTTATCAACTTGATGCAAGGTTTTTTAAGAGCACCATTTTGCACGAAATCTAATTACTTTCCTTATTCTACGAACATTATCTTATCGAACGCTGTGGTGTGTTCTACGTTTCTGGGTTTTTCTAAAAGTACATAAACCTTTGTTAAACTACACTCTGAATACTTTTTCAGGGTATGAAAAGAACACCAAATTTCTGAAATGTAATCATTATATTTTTTCTTTCAGAGTAACACTCTCTATAGATCACATTCTTACTTAATATTAATTAAGAATCAAACCGTGAATTAACACGAAAAAAAAAAAAAAAAAAAAAAAAAAAAACTACAAGTTTGATAATTCTTAGGTAAACCGAAACAACTTGCCAACTGGGAGAGACAATTTGACAGTGATATCCGTGACATTGTCTTTTTATTTTTAACTTATGCGTCTTCCTTTTTTTCCGACACCGTAAGCAACTGGTGAAAGTAAGCTTTTATCTTTTTACAACCACTGTTCCGTCCTCGGCGTTGATACTCAATCTAGGTGAGCATGATTAAAAAGATTAAGCCGTACCTCGGTAATCTATGATACTGATAGGTTTTAGTATATTTATACAAAGTCCCGTGGCAATGCCTGGTACGGACGGTGGTGTATGAGCAATCTTGTTCATGTACGGCATTTTGACGCAGTGTTACTACAACAGAGATGCTGCATGCGCCGTGATTTGTGGCCTTGCTACATGTATAAATATGACGATTGTTTTCTATATATTCTTCATCTGTTGGATAACACAAGGTCTTAGCGTCTTTCTTGACTTTCTTTATATCTCCCCCCCCCCAACATTTTTTTCTTAGTCCTTCTATCCCCTTCGTACAGGTGGAAACGATTTGCTCCAATCCAAAATGCCTTTAGGTGTTTTTCCGTCTACATGATCCAGCAACCACCGTTTTGGTTGCTCATAAATCTGAATACCGCGGAGATAATGTGAGTGCATCACGACGTGTCCTGCCATTGCAGCGGGTTAGCAGGGAGGGCAGTTCACACTTACCACTAGCGGTTTTACTTATATTCTGTGACTTTATAGTAATCTTGTATTAGACGTTATTAAAATGTAAATTAAATATAAGAAAACACCATTTAAAATTTTACTAATGCTGTCAACCCCTGCGGAGAAAGAAATGCATCAACTTCAAGAAAAGTAAATTTGCCACTTATTTTGAGATGACACCTGCTTACAAAGATTCCACTTCGGTTGATTGTATGACCACTTGCTGTGGACACCGAGCGAAGTAATGGAGGTCCACATAGCCCAGGCCCGAAAGGGGGGGGGGTGAGGGGGTCGGGGGTGGGTGGCTGGAAAAAGACCGCTCAGAATCAAAATCTGATTTATGTTCTATGCCATTTCTCAAGTTGAAACTATATCTATACGGGTGAAATGGTCCAGTTTTTCAGAAAGAGTATCCCCCCCCCCCTTTCAAATTACTTGCTTCAGGCCTGGGTTCCAAAAATTCACGTTCTCCGAACGCCCATAACCAACTACATACCGATTCATAACTGCTGTGAATAATTGCCCGAGTGAACGACGTCGCTTTTTGTTGCACTCTCCAGCCCCGAAAACACGCGCTCACGCCGAGGAACAGCTGGTTGTTTCCTAACGCGCTACAACAACTAATGTTAGATAAGACCAAAGGTGGCGATTAGACCAAGATAAGACGGAAACGAAATATTGCTGAAAAACACTGAAGACAAAGAGAACAGCAAAAAGGATTTTTCATTTAAATCTAGATACCAGTATATGACGAACTATACCGTTGATCTCACTGAATACAATGGGAAAAGGGAAGATTTTTTTATTTTTTCTAGGGGAACTCAAAATTTGGAATGAAAGAGCTAAATTATGCCATATGTCCATGCTACAAAATTAAATTGAGTCCACCAAAAAAGTGCCGAAACTTTCAGGAGACAGGGTAGGTTAAGTTTTGACAGGGTTTGACTTCGGGACCTTTCCACCCACTCCCATTTTGAACTCTATATTTCACAAAAGCCAAAGTAGATAAACTAAAAACTGTTTTTTCGTCAGCCAAGATAAAAACTGTTAGATCTGGATTTAGTCTGCAAAACCACAGATAGCGATAAACCTCCCATTGGTGTCCTGCCAGTTGTTTTCTTTTGGCGTGGACCTATAGACTTGTTATCTCTAAATGATATATTTCGTTGGAACCAAAGTAGCTTAGAGTCCGATAAAGTGACAAATTCAACAAAAGTCAGCTATTCTATCATAATATGTGTGTTACTTGTTGATGCACGTACAAATGAATATCTCTAACGAATAAATGACTTATAAAAAGATGGAAAAGCAACAGAGCAAATATTTAACTTTGAAACCAGGAACGAATTATAACGAAACCCACTTATAAGCCGAGTGAAACCACAAGTGAGACCATGGTGATCGCCTGCAGTTGGCACAGCTTCAGGATCCAGTGCCTATAGTTAAGACATGACATTTTTAATGATATCTTCGGGACACAACGATGTTTTGGGAGGGCTTTTGGAAAGTACTTAGTCGCGTGTGGATATTCGACTGTTTTAAAGATACAATCATGCAAGCAGTAAAATTTATTTGTACAGTTTATTAAGCCACTTATCAGCTACGACAGAACAAATAATTTTAAAAATTTTAACGCGTTTTAGGGATAGTGACTTTTATCCTATTCTTTGACTTACTGGTACGATCTCAAAAGCTAAAATGTGTACAAATGCTAAAAATAAAAATATGTAATAATAATAATTATAATAATTAACCAAAATAAAATCTTATCTGCAAAGTTAAACTGCGGGCATTGAATGATGTTCAAATCCCTTGAACCTTGTAGGGCGCATGACAAAATATGCCACGTGCGCCGGCGGAACAAAGCCGCTCTCCTTCTGCTCTGGCGTGTGCCGGTTGTCAGTCAGATGCCACGGCTGATATATGGAGGCACAGTTGCCTTAATGTTGGTTTCAAAAGGCCATAACATTGAACGAAACTCCTTCAAACCGTACAATTTGATTGTGAACTTAAATCGGGAGCAACTGAAGATTGTTTCACGCAAAAAAAGTAGAAAGCAATGCCCCACTCAGAGATAAATTTGAGATCTGTGCATTATATAGTTTCCAATTTGCCAGTTGAACAAAAATTAACCATACTCGTCGTGGAACCGGCTTTCTTTTACATGACAGTGTGAATGTTTCTGTCCCTGTGTCTTCAAAACGCCTCTGAGTATACATTTCAGCACCATGTGTCTGATATATTATTCTATCGTACAATTATTTCTATACTCTGCATCCAATGTATTATTACCTACATTACATCCATGATGAAATGATAAAAATGTGATTTTAACGACTTCAGTGAAGAGGATGATATAACACCACGATGGTCAGTCATAACGTTGTGACGGATAATTTAAAATCCTATCTCCGCATTCGGCAAAGGTGAATGATAGCAACATATTTTAAGCGTCTATATAGTTTTTGACTATTAACCTTTATAAAGGAATTGCTAATCCTGGATTTTTTTTTCTAAAAATCGTTATAATATGGTTCTAACAGCAACCTCCATATAAAGAAATTCAAAGGTTAAAAACAAAAGAATTGAAATTTCGTCCGTCATTTTCAAACAAAAAATAGCATCTCAAAAAAACAAAAATATAGTTAAAATGTGCAATAGCTGCTTTAATGCGTTGTTAGAGGTACTTGAGCATACCCCCCTGTAACTTGCACACTGTATCATGTAGGTGTAAGTGGTAAGCATAAGGTTGCCGTCTTAAGGTGCCAGAAGGTTGGCATTGTAATCCAAGTATATGAAAATATAAACTACCAGGTACAAACTCGTCATGAAAGGCAAATACAAGTTCTATTAAAGCTACTACAGGGGAACATCATGTTAAAACTCTGGACATTTTCTTAACCACTTGCTTTGCATGACATCTTCTCGGAAAAGGTCAGAAAAACAAGATTACTTCTAGAAGAGGGGAACCTACCTGAGAAACCATGGGCCTTCTCCGAGAGATAGCATCCATCCTCTTCGTTGTTGTATCTTTTGTTCGTTATCATGAAAGCCCTAGGCATGATGAGTAGATATGTGTGTAAGAACAATAACCAGTCGATTTAGGCGAATTCTGGGAGTCAGCAACAGTCGGTGCTTTCCGAGAGACAAACGATTTCTGCGAATCTTCTTCGGCAGGCGGAGTAATCTGACAGACAGTGATTATCACAGGTGTGCGCTGAAATGATGTCAGTGATGCGGCTGGAACCCTTATAGTTCAAACCTGAATCATGCCTTAACGCAGCTGTAACGGATCTGGGCGATCTTCTTAGGTGAATCAAACCACAAACTATGTTTACTTCACGTATGAGATTGATATGCCCACCTGGTTTGGAAGGTAGGGGGAACCAGTCAGCGCAAAAGAACCACTTTCTCAGTCTTCACCCTCTTTGATACACGGTAACTGTGAATAAAATGCGTCCATTCAGCGCTCAACCACGTTCTTGCTCTAAATCAGCCAACTGGGTGTCGTTTCGTTTCAAAGTAACGTCGGGTTTGCCGTACACTAGGCGACGGCAGTGAACATGAAAACGTACGAAATCCCGTCAGGTGGGTGGAATACAACCTTAGCTTGGCTTCAAAGGCGGCAAAGTACTTAAAACATTTAGCTAAAGTCTACGAAAAATCACCTGGTCGGTACAACTTGCGGTAGAAGAAAGAAGTATCTGCAACACACCTTTCTGCAACCCGATGATGCACCGTAAGGAAGACGCGCTGCGCTAATTGGCAGATTTACGCTTCTCCCTTAACTGTCTGTGGTTACTTGGTGATAAACAGCTGAAGACGACTAGAAACTTGCGCCCTTGCGAGTTTAGGATGAATAAGTATATTGATGAGTTAATAAAGTGTTTGTGGAACACTAATACCTCTCCTCTCTTCAGTTGCCGAATATTCTAATAACCGTGAAATTCCTGGACGTATCTTAGAAACGAAATATCCAGGTGTGCGCTCTCAGATAAGCAACTTCCATAACACGAGTGCTTAAGGTTGATGACTTGGTTGCCTTTTTTGCTTTCAAAGTAATCTGCGGATTCTCAAAACAACCAACTGCCACCTTGAAAAGACAAGACAGCCTGTTTGTCAGTGTTTTCTTCTGAAAGCTTCCTACAGTAAATCACTTTCAAGTTCACCTTTCGCTCCAGGATTTGCTTTTGCTTAACGCGTATCTTTCTCTGATATTAAGTTTATATTACTTGGTGTCTATCGGCGGACTGCCGCGTATGTACAACGCGTTCATCTAACAAGTGGTAGGCGGGGAGGCGTATTATATCTCCTATAGACCATCGTTGAGGAGATGTGGTGGGAAGCGGCTATCACTCACTGTCGTTTGGCCCTATTTGTTAAACAGGGGCTGGCCATAACCCGCTGAGAGAAGTCGAAAGGGGCTGGAACAAGTTGTGTGGGATGGACTCGGAAACATCTCATATAGGGGTGGCAGGGTACGCAGTACAAACCTAAAGTAACTGCTGTGATGACTTACACAACATGCAACCTACAAAAAAAAACATCACTCGACCCTAGATTCAGTCAATCTTATTTTGAAGATCGTTTAGTTTCGATTAGGAAAATTTACCGAAATTCACGAAAACCATCATCCCTACTGAGACTAAAATTGAACCTTTTTGTGGTTTTGGCACGTGCTGGTGATTGGACCGGCACGAGGTCTCGCGCCAACCACGTGGTGCCTGTGAAGTGATTGAGTGGACCTCTGAGTGACAAGCTGTGCAAGCGGGTTTCACGCTGTTTAACGAAATTTCCGTTCATTTGTCCAAACAAATGCGGGGTATCAGTGTAAACTCTTTCACTTCGTGTATACGAATCTATCTGTATATAATATAATTATGAAAAATGCTTGGATAAAAAGTACAGCTTTTGTTTCACGAGCGAGCTTAAACAATTATTTTCAACATCAAAATCTTTATTTTTGGATTATTGCACACATGGTTCTGTCACCCCTGTCTAGAAGGTGAAATTAAAATTACCTCACTAAACTAAACCTATGTACATAGCTCTACAGGCATCAGTAAATTGGCTTAGGTTAAAAATCTTGAAGTATAGAGTTCTCTTTTTAAAGAGGTGAGCAAATGGCAAACACTTTCCCAACAGCCTCAGGTAACTGTTGTTTACTAAATGTGTCTGAAATTGGCTACAAAACTCTTCATAAATCGTCCATTCAGAAAAACCTCTATCTTCTCAGTATTTCTGCATCTTATCAGGGAGAGTAGAGTGTATGCTGTAGTATTTTGTATCGTAATAACTCAACACGGGTCAGCGCAGCTGAGCAGGATGGTTACGGCTTTTTCATTGAGTGATCCTCGCAACACGGGCGGCTGTTGCGGTTATTTTTATCACACTTTCCCATATGTCACTCAGCATTAGAGTTGATAAGCTGGATCGAATTACCTGCACTCGTGCCGCTTTCCAAACAAGGTAAAATGCCATTTAAAACTGCCTGTACCACCTGGCCACGTGACCCTATCGCCTCGTGCGGATTCAACCTATCAGGTTGCAGCACGCGCTGCAAGAGAGTAGACACCGGACCACTTGTTGGAATAGTATTACCACGTTACTTTGTGCCGTGTTACAGCATGAGCGCAGTTTGTCCATAAATGGAAGGTGGATTGTCTCCAGATGTGGGATTAAATTTAAGGAAGCGAACTGTCGTCTGGCTCAGCTTATTCTTGAAGTGCTAGTGATGTGCTTTAAGTTTTGGCAGCTGTAAACAAGAAATCATTCTTTTCTTTGTCGTCTGTTGGAGCTTAGTTTCTTTTACTTTCATTAAAAGGTTGGCGTAGATATATTACATGAGAATTTACAGTACATCACTGGGAAAACATATTTTGTATGAATAAATATCTTGTTAGAATTGTGTGCGCTTAACTTCATGAAATTTTGAGCTTGCACGTGTTTTGTTACAAACATCAACAACATGGTGTTTATATGTACACGTGAAATTTTACATTCCATTACTCTTTCTGCTCGGATTTAGTCCCTTTTTTTATAAAGATTGTACACTTTAGTAGAAACTAAAAAAATGAAATTATCCGCTTGCGAAGGAAACTCGTGATTTGAAAATCAATCTTTGACAAGTGTGCCAACCCGATCTTGAGTAAAAAAAGTCGTTTTTCTTGAGTTTGTAAAAGTATTGGAAACTGTTATCTGGAAATCATGCTTTAAGACGTGTGCTGGTGTCAAAGGTGAAACTGCGTGTAACGCGCTATTAGACCGGCAAGAAACCTCCCTTTGAAAATAATTCACTGTTAACGACCACTAAAGGTTCAGATAATTGGTTTTTGTTAAAATAACTATTTCTTTTTGCGAGTTTGTTTTACTCATTAGCGATGCACGCGTTCCTCGCGGTTTGAGTACACCAGTAACTTGTCTAGGTGTCTGAGTTTTTTCTTTGTTAAAGCTAAATTTAAACAAAAACATGCTTTAGGTGGAAACCTACTATATAAACCTACAATTTGAGCAAAGTGTTTCATTCATACGTAAAAACCCAAAGCATTAACGAATCACATTAAAGTCGTTATGGAGCAATCTTCATCTCCCAAGTTTATTTTTCCGGCGCTGCCAGCGGCAAATATATAATTGTTACCAATTAACATTGACATGAGAAATAATTCAGGGATACTAAGATTCCCATGTGAATCTTCGGCTGCGCTCACATTTTTCCAAGATCCATCGATCTCAGTGCTGTGATCAATTCGAAATGAAATCAAGTCAGAATGTTTGATTTTTGTTCTTGATTTTATTTCAGAGTGTTAAAGTTCAAAGGTTAAGTAATTAATTAATTACAATTAAAAAAAAAACAGTTTACCTAGACCTCACGGTAGTTCGATTGATCTTTGTCGGGTGTAAAGGAATTCCTTGGTTTGCGTCCTGCAGGAAAGCTGTGATTTCTTAGGGACTGTTTAGGAACTGGTTAAAGAAGACTGTCTAAGTGTATTTATGCTGCTATGAGAACTACTTGGTGACGTTTGGGACCGGTAAGGTCCTCTAAGCGTGAAAAAAAGCCTATAAAAGGAATGTAACCAACACTCTATGTAGCGGTGAACCATAGTTGAAACAAAAGTTTGTATTTCTTACTATTCACAGTATCAGTTCTCCTGTGGAGCTTGCAAACTCTGCTTCCCCCATCTGCACCAGAGAAAGAAGTGCCACCCCATTGCACGAAAGTCTACGTCACCATATGTTTACATAGAACAGCAGTTCATAATTCACATTAAGAGAAGGTAAAATGTAAACCTTTTCACACAAAGTTTATAGTTTGAAAATCCGGTCGCCTCGCTCGCTAAATTAAATGAAAAATGAAAAAAGGGATACCTGCGTATACACCACTGTGCCGTCAACACTTACTATTAAAAAAAAACGACCGGAGTTTTAAATTATCTTGACCATCCCCGTTAATCTGTGCCGCTGGGGTTTTGACACAGACATCACCAGAGGCCGCGTGTCGTTTAGAAGCGATCGGCTTTTACCTGCTCGTGCATCATCCCAGCGCCACGCGTCCGGAAAAAGCACTGAGCTTTTTAATGGAACAGAATGTAGCATGACCGCGTGAAAACGCATCAACATACGCTGTGTGATAAATAGGCAAAGGAAATTTCAAATAACAGACCACCTCGCATAAACTTGTATTAAACAGCTGGGTTGTGTGAAAGAAGTTTGTCTGGACAGAAAACTGTTGTACATAGAACTACGAGGTTGTACAGGGGGCAAGTTGAATGCAATTTTCTTGAAGTGAAATTAATGAAAATGAAGTTTGAATATGGTATTCATTAGAAACGTCGAGTAACTTGTTCCTCCGTTTTTTTTATTTATTAACAAATTGCCTAGCATGTTGACAACGTTCCTATAGAAATGCCTTCTTTCTTTTCAGAAAATTCTGATTAATTAATGTATTACTGTACAATACGATTTATAGCATTTATTTCTCTCTTTCACTATCTCTCTCTCTTTTCGTTGCGTCTTTAGAATAATCTTTACATAATATTGGTTATGCTTGTTTATTTCACATCATGGACCATTTACCAAATTGCTTTGTATATTTGTTTTTTCCCAGCCTTCCCTCACGTCTTCCGCCTTTATTCATGTGCTTTTCCCACCCATAGGCTACCACCAATCCCAGGTGAAACACTCCACTGTTTTACACCTGTTTATTTCTCAGTGGAGGCGGCTTCCTCACAGGTAGTTGTTACGTCGCCACTTGACCACTGGCCGAAGAGCGGCCAGCCGGTGGTCAGTGTGTGCTATTAGGTTTCTACCTGCTGATTTTGTATGAGAAATGGTGAAAACATACCAAGCAGGTAGAAACAGATGTTGCTGGCTAACATTTCTGACAGTTCCTGTCAATAACTACATGTTAAAAATAATATATATTAGCTCTTGCAGAATAACTGAGATATGATTAGCATATTATAACACTTACACTCATTAACATAACCAGATTTCTCTCTCTTTCTCTCTCTCTCTCTCCATTTACACTTTACCTACAATTTTAGAATCAATCACGTAACGCGTTATATCATTTAAGCGTACAGATCATTTTTGTCGATACTGGTGGCCAGGGGGTGATGCGTGGCCTTGGTAACGTTTCACAGGTCATGACAAGCTACTTCCTGGGCAGTCAACAAAATGTGACCCCATTTTTGCTATGTGCTTATCAATTTATGCGCCCCTATCTTAATTTACAATTCCAGTGTTCCTGATATTAAGAATCTTACATCAGACGACTTAATGTTTGGCTACCGGTGAAAGCGGCGTAGCTCTCCACCGCTTCCCTTCCCACAAAACTCAGTTCTCCCTTCAAAATCATAAAATGTCAAAATGATGGACATTAAACACGTCTGAGTATAGGAAAACTTTTCTAATTCAGCTGAAGGGAACGTGAACATCTGCGAAAAAGTGAAAGACATATATATATATAAGCTCCTCTGTATGTTAATTATGCGCAACACAGTAAAATCAGAGACAAGTTTGTTCTACATCTATTTATAAGCGTAATGAACAAAACATGCGGATGAATAATTAACAACAAATGCAGAGGTGCGTACATCAGTCTCAGTGGTCTATAGACTGGCATCACTGACACCACGGATACAAGTACCGGGCAAAACAAAGCTCAGTGCATCGTGTTTTAATAGCACGCCTGGTTAAATGAAAACTTGATGTAGTTTAAACTTATATACAACTTCCACTTGGCTGCGTACAATATAATCTTTACAACTCATCTAAACATAATTGGCAATTTGTGATTG